GGTTCTAGCATTTCTTCCTTCATTACCACCAATGACCACTTTCCACAATCATGTTTTCATCATTCACACAGACATGGCTATATGGCCACTTCAGGAGAGATGTTCAATCCAGCCACAGAGAATATTTCTGTCTCAACAAAGCCATGTAACAGTCTGGAGATGTAGTATCTTTCAGTTATGTAAACTCTAACATACATGCCAATGACATTAACTAAGCAGTTTCTCAATGAATTCATGGCACCACTAGATTTCATGTCACAGGAAAGTAAAGCCATAGCAGCTCTCAGATTTGTTTAGGCTCAAAACTTCTGAAAATCATCAGGCACAAGGCATGAGAAATCCATTGGGTGCTTCTGAAAACTGTCCTAAAGACTAGCAAATATCCAGGCAGACAGCAAAGGAAAAGGTACAACACAAATGTCCTAGCCGTCAGACAAATGCTGCTTCCTCAGTGGGGGTTCTGGGTGACTCACCTAATCAGTGGTTCCACCCCAGTTCCCCCAGGGTTACCATTTCCTTAACAGGTCTGATTGTCTGGAGGCAAGCACTGGCGGGCTTGCCCAATGTCTCAGGCATGTACAATACTTCACCTAACTCAAACCACATGCAGAAGGATCATGTCATACTTGGCACATAACCAGTTGAGAAAGGCATCAGAGGGTGTACAGATCTCTACTTGTTTGAACAACTGTTCAAAAAAACATTTCTAAGTGATATTCCAGAAAAACATACTCAAGGTCTGAAAACAGATGTTCTGTTTCTAAGATTGTGTTGCTTTGCAGTCATCATTACTGAAAGCTATAAGTAGAACCAAATCACTTCAAGGTTGAACTATGGTGACTCTTCAGATTTTTATCACAGCTTTATTGTGGACCAGAAGGATAGGTTAGATAACAGAAGATAATGTTGTAGAGACAACATTCTGTTGTACGTCAGTGCCTGAGCCTCAGATTTAGGCAGGCAAGGACTCAGATCCTTTGCTAGCTAAGTAATTTAACTTCTCAGAGCCTGAGTTCCTCACCTGTAACATAACATTGCTTACTTGATAAATGTGTAAAGGGAACTAAAAGATATCACTTATAATGACTTTGCATAGGGTATAATGTGTTAAGCACTCAAAAATGCTAGATAATATTGTTCTTAGTATTGCTACCAGAAGTACTTCTCTTTTATTACAACCATAAGAAGTAAGATTGCAGAAAAGCAATTCTAGTTTCAAACAGGGTAAATACCAGAGTAGTGTAGGGTCCTGGTGTTGTATTTTTCTTATCTCAAACCCATGTCATTCTATTCTTCATTAGCTTACTATGTGGGCTATCCCTATGCACTTCAAACGTTTTAGAGTTCAGTACCTGCTTTTGAAAATAAAACCCCTATGGCACTTTTCTGCAAGCCATGCTGCCTGTACCAGAGGCTAATCTGTGAATGGAACATATTATGAGCAAGTTGGTACAAAAGAAGCATGATACGGTCTCTGAAGGTACAACGAGCTAATGAATGGACATTCTTTCGGGGGGAGGGTTGGGTGGAAAGGGAGGAGATGTTTTTGGTTCTAGCCTGAGAAAAAGACAGGATGGTTTGGGGAAAAACTTTAATAATAATTTGACTATATTTTTTATTTACCAAATTAACATGGTTTGTGTAAATTATATAGTTTCAGAGACAGACAGTAGCCACCACGAAGGTTTTTATTAACCACTGCCAAAAAATGTTTTTTGGATTCATTGTCAGATGAAAGCATGGCCTTACTTTACACAATATAGCCATCACCTTGGTATTTCACATTTGTCCATCTAAGTTTGTTGATCTATATGATTTGTAAAGGAATTTCATTAATTCATCTATCCATTCCTTCGTCAATAAATATATATTGAATAATTATAACATGATAGATACTGTTTTGAGCACTGGGGAATATAGCAACAACAAGATTAAGTCCCTGTTATCATGAAACTTACAGTCCAGCTGCCTGGTTTGGCCGAGTGTAGTGTACAAAGAAACTTATTTGGGATGCAGTCGGTCTAACTTTTGAACCTGGTAAATACTCTCCAACTGGACATTCTTTCAGGGGGAGGGTTGGGTGGAAAGGGAGGAGATGTTTTTGGTTCTAGCCTGAGAAAAAGACAGAGGATGGTTTGGGGAAAAACTTTAATAATAATTTGACTATATTTTTTTATTTACCAAATTAACGTGGTTTGTATAAATTATATAGTTAAAATGTTGTACTGCTAACATATATCATACATGTTACCATTTGAAATATAAGAAAGCAATGTTAATTCTAATTGTATAGTTCATAAACTGGCTTTGAAGGCAGATCAAAAAGCAGCATTTCAAAAATATTGAGCAATAGCAGCAACATCAGAATAAGTATATTCTCAAGGGGACTACTTTGAAAAGTACAGAACACATTTGGATATGCAAGTTCTAAAATGTTCTACATGTACCCATTATAGATTTATATATGTATCCATTATATATTTATATAACTGTATATTATATATATTTATAGCTGTACAGCTCAGTAAAAAGCTGTGAATTCATTTACTTTCTCAGCACTGAATCAAAGTTTTTTGCCAATTTATGCATACTCTTGTGTATATAGGTCAGTATAGTTTTTGGTAATTACTTATGCTGTGTTACATTTTCAATATGAAAATGAATCTTCTGGTGATTTGACAGGCCTGCTGAAATACTGCCTTCTGATTTGATGCCAATGTATGATCAATTTCTTTGTATTTTAACTGGTATTTATGTTACAGGCAGAATGTTAAATCAGGAATTGTAAACAATTCCTAGGCAATGTGTATAATGTTTATAAGTCATTCCTAGAAATTGTTCACAATGCCTGTAACATATATGCAACTAGCAACATACCTGAAATATTTAGGAAACCTTCAAGATTCTAAATGGCCATTCATATGCTATCCTCTACTGTAATATTTTCTTTAACAGTTCTACCTGTTTGTTTGTATGTCTAGCTATAAACCATAATTTAGAAATAACAGTACAATCTTGTTTTCATAGCTCTCGTGGGTACCTGGATTTTAGATAATGGCTTGGACTTGCTCATTTTAAGAGGTACAAGGAATAAATAAACCAAGAAGTTAAAATAAAGGGAATCTTGTTTATCAGATACTCTTAAAACCCTATCCAAATTTTCTTATTCCTGTTCACAAAGTTTAGCTCAAACTCCATTGCCTTCTTTTCCTAGCTAACCCAGCTCTTTCCTAGTGGTCTTTTAATATTATAACTCCTCCAAGTTTTCCTTAGGCTACTCAAAAACAAAACAAAAAAATAATAGTTTCTACCAAACCAGTCAGTCTAAACATGAAACTTTCTTGCCTCTCCCTACTCACTTCCCCTGCTAACAGACTTATGTCTACATATGGCATAATTGTTTGATTCTATATATTTAGCCTTTGTCCAAATTTATTTCTTTTTATTCACAAGTTGACATGGTCTACATCTTGGTACATATCAACATTGTCTGTTATGGGTACACCTATGTAGCCACCCCATGCCAATTTGTAGATGAAGGGAAAAAAAGTTGACTTAGTCTAACCTTTGACTGCTCAGGTCATATCAAAACAGTGAAATTATTTACCCTCTCAGACAGGAACATTTCTGGTCCTTCTAGACAACTGAACTGATTTGATCAAATTCTGATTGACCAATGAAACTGAGCCTGGTAAGATAAGGCCAAGAAGTGAGCTGGCAAGATGGAATGTAGAGCCAAAAGGAAAACTTCAGAGTGACTGAGTAAAATCTTTGGCAACTTCACCTCAGGACTTAGTGTGGATGCCAAGGAATTGGCTGGCATAGTAAGATGCTATGGAGCAGGATTTGACAGTAATATACATAAATCCTTAATTATGCTCAGATGAGAGCGTCCCTGGGTACCTAGTTGTTAAGTCTCAGCAACATCATACTACCACCTCTGCAGCATGAGTTCAATCCCTGACCAGGTTGCTGACACACATGCCCAAGCAGACCTCGCCTGTCTGGCCCGCTGCTTCCCTCCTGGCCCGCTGCTTCCCTCAGCAGTGTATTTTAGTAAATCCACCTTTTCTGTGCCCCACTTTGTCTCTGGTAAATCCTCTTACACTAGCACCTCTGACCTATACCCCAGTTCTTCCATTAATAAATAACTAAATAAATCTTTTTTTTTAAATGCTCAGATGATGGCCTTCATTCCTATTTCCATCTCAATTGTATCCAGAAATGATGCATCTTTTAGTACTATCTCCTCTGTGAAAACACTCTAGTGACCACTAGAGGTCTAGGCCATACTGGTCTATACTTTCTTTGAACCCTTCTAGCCCTTATTTAAGTTCGTTTTTTTCCCTCTAACACTGAATTCTGTCAACATAATTATTTACTGTATGATTATTTTTAATGTATGCCTTCTACTTGTGGTGACCATGTTTTTCAAACCAAAAATTGGAGCACATCATCTGAAAATTTAAGTAGGCTATTTGAAATTATCAGTGCCCAGAAAAACTTTTGTTCTTCCTTCTTCCTGTCTCTTGTTACTCAATATTGACTGCTATTGCTGATACAATAATAAATATCAATGCAAGGTGTCATCTATGTTACAAGTGAAGGACACTGATATTTTTTGTGGTGTCCAATATAAAGAGGCTTTGTCTGGATGATTTATCACTGTGCTTAAGGAATGAAATAATGATGCTAGAAAAGAAAAAAATAAACAGCATGGGAAAGGAAGAAGGTCAACAAAAAGTACCAGTAACAAAAGATATTATATAAAGATTGTATCATGTATGACATCATAAAAATAAACTAAAAAGATGTACCTTATTCAGAAAGACAGAAGTGAAAGAGGTTTCACTGAAATTTATAAGGTTGTAAATTAGGTAAGTATTGATTTGTTTACCAAATTCTAGATTCCATCACTGGAATATTCCTGCCTATAATCCTGCATAGCAAAATTTAAAGTAAATTTAGGGTAATGGTCCTTCTTAACTTATCATTTTCAGAAGTTGTACGGGCTGAGGACATAGCTTGGAGAGGAGTTCATTGAAGGTTGGGAGATTCATAAAAGGTATTTAACTATATTTATTCCTTAACTTTTTAGCTCACTTAGTTAATCAGATAAATAATTAGCCCATTATGGAGCAAAGTAATATATTTAATTTGTTAAAACGCAAAAAGCAGTCATTTTACCTAGGATCAGACATGCTAACATCAACAAGAAGGAATAGTTTACAGTAAGAAGGATATTAAAAGGGAAAAAAATATTTAAGTATAGTAATCTGAAATCAGTTAGCTTAGAAGCTAATTTACGTACACATGTTAATTGTACTTGAGAGTACAATAGCATCATACAGTGATTCATGTTTGTAATGCTAGTCTTGAGTCATTAAGAAAAACTTAAACTATACCCACTACTCTGCTCATGTAGACTTTATTGTTCTTACAAATGGTGATATAAGATACTCTTACTAATCAAATTAGAGAGATTTAACATAATATCTGAAAATGCTTCATATTGAGGAAGAAGGTTATAACATACAAATGATTTCTGAATTTAAGAAGCAGTTATTATTTGGAGGGGGAAGGGACAACAATTCGGGTGAAGAAAGGCAGGGTGAGATACTCCCTCTAAAACAGTCTATTAGACATTTGAAGGTCACAAGTAGGAACATGGTAATTTCCCCCCTTCCATCAAATGCAAATAACACTTTTGGACATTTCAAGGAAACTTAGAGAGCTTTGAGGTCCCTGTAGTGAGAAACTAATGGTTTTACATACTCTTTAGATTGGGTATCATCAGCCCAAACCCTCCATACTTAATGAAACATTTAAAAATCTAGTTTATCTACTAGGCAGTAGTTGTGATTAGTGGACCCAAGAGAGATTGGCATTTGGAGGCCATAATTCACTGACAATCTGCAAGCCAACCACAGAGTGGCATTGTCATCCTAACAAAAACTAAAAACAGGAAATAAATACTTTGCATTTTGTGGTAAGCCACTAGGTAAATTTAGAGGATTATTGGAAAATGTGGTTTTACCCATTTTTAGGAAGGCTAAGGCCTGTCACTAACCATACCTAGCTTGGGAAATGATCTTTGGTGCCAAGAACTTTGCACTATGTCTAATTTCCTCCTTATAACCATTCTGCTACCTTCTCCTCCCACTACCTGGTCACAACAACACTCTGCACCTGTAATAAGAGTTCAACTAGTACAGTTAAAATATTGGATGCCTTAAATATGGTTGTTTTTTGCTATTAACATATAAGCAGAATGCTATTAAAATGGAAGTTAAGCAGTAAAGAAGCACCAAGAACAAACTTCGGCATGCTCAAAATAATTACCGTGGCTTTGGAAAATTGGTACACACTCATAAAATACTTAGATTCTACTCTTCTTAAAATATGAATGAAGGTACTTTGAGCAGCAGTGGTTATTTAATACTGAACCCAGTAGTGGGTTTTTGTCACTTTAAACACATTCTGGACTAGATAACACTTGTCAGGGATATTATGGAGGGAATCCATCAACAGCATGATTTTTCAACTTTCAAGGTGAGAAGATTATAAGACACTACTTAGAGAACTACCAATAATCTATGTCTCAGGAGGAAGATGGCAGATGGACAGGATCCCTGAATCACTACTTCCTTTGGGGACGTGGAAGATAGACATCTAGAAAGAGTAGCCACATAGGAATAGAACAGGGGATGTGAGGACTGATGTCTTAGCAAGGATGTGAGATAGGAACCATAAGAAAAAATAAGTCAGGAATTGTCCCAGTTCACCAGAAAGAATACTCACACTACCCCACATCGAGTATCCTGGGCTCTCCGTAGATCCTAGGTCCTTGTTGGGAAGGAGAATACATACTTCTCTGCAAACATAAGATGTTCAACTGTTCAGCAGGAGAGCCAGATGGCCAGTTGTGGAGAGAACCACTTGTTTTTCCTGTACACAATCTCTGGGGCCAACCAGGGGAGGCCAGTGAAGGCATCCATCTTCCTCCTGTATGACCACTGGCCCATGCTCAGTGTGCATAGAAAGAAACTGAGTGGCAATAAGAACTCAGTCTGCCCAGTGGGACTGTCATGCCCACATTGCAGTCAGCAGAAGAATATGCCTGGAACTGGTGTGATTTCTTGTGCTTGCTCCCCTGGGCACTGAGAGAGTACAGCAACTGCAGCATATTTCTCTTAGCTTTGTCATTAGGGAACTCCTAGACCACAGATTTTGGAAGGCTTGAGTTCAAACTCAATCCTCACAGATCTGTGAACTTTGGCCTATACCTTGAGTATTTTAATCAGTAATCAGTGCACCCAGTTTATGAACAAAGTCATCATGGTTGCCTGTGGCCAGTGTGAGGTGTCAGAATTGGAATCCAACCCACTGTAGCATGCTTTCTGGACTTACCCTGTAGTTACCAACTTGCTACTCAAAAAGTACAGAACTAGGGAGAACATCTCAAACAGCAAAATGGGCAGGAAAAGAAATTATCCATGGCAATTTGAGCCATCAAGGGAAGATGACATCAGAAGGAAGGAATAATTCTCTGGAACCCAACCACAAAGATATGAAAGATGTAATATTCCTATCGGATAGAGTTCAAATTTGCCATGATAAGGTAAAATAAATAAATAAATAGAGATTTAGGGATGTGAATTGGGTGGGAAAGATCGTAAAAAATCTTGGCTTCATAGTGATAAAGGATTGATCACAAAGATGTACAAAGAGCTGATAAAATTCAACAAAAATAAACAACCCCATCAAAAAATGGGCAGCTGAGCTGCAAAGACACTTCTCCAAGGATGAAATGCAGATGGCCAACAAGCATATGAGAAAATGTTCAACATCCCTTGTAATAAGGGAAATGCAAATTAAAACCACAGTGAGATACCACCTCACCCCGGTGAGAATGGCACATTTTCAAACAACTAGCAACAAATGTTGGCGAGGATGTGGAGAAAAAGGAACTCTCCTGCACTGCTGGTGGGAGTGAAAAAGGAACTCTCCTGCACTGCTGGTGGGAATGCAAATGAGTACAACCACTATGGAAAACTGCTTGGGGGTTCTCAAGCTGCTAAACATTGAGCTTCCCTATGACCCAGCAATCCCACTCCTAGGTATCTACCCAAAAGACACAAAAACACTGATTCAAAAAGATATTTGCACCCCCATGTTTATTGCTGCTTTATTTACAATTGGAAAGACATGGAAACAGCCCAAATGCCCAAAAATGGATGGCTGGATCAAAAAGATGTGGTACATATACACAATGGAATATTACTCAGAAACCAAAAAGAAGAAACACATGTCCTTTGCAGCAACATGGATGGAAATGGAAAAGATCATGTTTAGTGAGATAAGCCATAAAGAAAAGCAAAAATACCAGATGGTTTTGCTCTAGCAGGAGTATAACGGACCAGAAGAGAAAATAGTGATAATAATGATAATGATAATGATAATGATAATGATAATGATAACAATAATAATAATAATAATAATAATAATGAACAGTTATATACCAGAGACAATTTATGGGGGTGGAGTGGGGAATGGGATCAAAAACAGTGGGGGGAGGGAAATGCACTGGACTTTGGTGATGGCACATGGGTGGTTTGGGATGGGAAGCCGAAGGGGATTACAACTGAGATGGAAAAATGCACAAAATGATGTAAAAATAAACTATTATATTAGTTAAAAAAAATCTTGGCTTCAGAAAATTAGTGGGAACTCCACCCCACAAGAGCTTTGAGGGATATCCCAGAACCCAAGACCTCCACAAGGAAACAACTGCTGTGCCTATCACCCAGTAAACACCCAGAACAGTGTGCAATAGAAATCCCAACTATAGCAGAGCAAACCTGAAAGCAAATAATGGGGAGAAAGAAAAATACAAATGTCCAAGGTTGTCCTCAGGGGAAATAAAGCAGAGAGAAAACAAATATCCAGAACCAAACCACAAAGACTTGAAAGATCTTTCTTCCTTTCAAACACAGAGTTAAAAGTTACTATAATTATCAGTAATTTAAATTACTAAAATTAAAAGAGTCACATAATTTGGAGAAATTTAAAGAAGACTCAGAAAAAGTTTAGAGATGTGCAGGAAAGCTCAAAAAAAAAAAATCAATGCTATGAGACACACAATCAATGACCAGAAGATCAAAATTGAAACTTTAAGAAAATGATGGAGTTCAGGATGCCAAAAGAGCAGTGAGGGAGATGAAAATTTATGACAAAGAATCATAGGTATCCTAGAAAGAGAAGGAAACTGAAAAACTATTTAAAGAAATCATGGAATAAAACTTCCCAACCTTGAAGAAGTAATTACAAGAAACTAGAAGAACATCAAGCTACTTAAAGAAAAGGAGACCTCCAAGACAGTAGTGAAACTTCTAGGAGTCCAAACTAAGAAAAAAAATGAAATTAATGAGAAAGAAGAAGTCTATATCTTATAAAGGAACCCTGATTAGACTAACATCAGATTTCTCTGAAGAAATACTATGGACATTAAGAGAATGGAGTGAAATATTCAAAATACTTGATGAAAATTTCTGGCAAGAATACTCTATCCTGCAACAACTCCCTCACATGTGAGTAAGAAATAAAAGTCGTTTCAGACATAATCTCAGGGAGTTTTCAACCACTAGATACACACTCCAAGAAATATTAAAGAGAGCTTTAGTATTTAAACCAAGTTGTGAAATGAACATAAAGAACTGAGGAAGGGATTAAATAGAACCACAAAACTATGTATAAAGCAGAAAAGAAGACTTTCATATATCAATAATCACTCTAAATGTTAGTTGACTGAACAAATGTTAGTTGACTGAACTCACCAATAATAAAACATGAGTATCGGGCCCTCCCTGTTGGTGCAGTGGGTTAAAGCACAGCACTTGAAGCTGTCCTCAGCCACTGCAGCACAAGTTCAATCCCCCGACAGGGAGGTGGTCCACATGGCGTGGCAGAACTCTCCTGACCCGCCTACTGCTCCCCTCGGCAGTGTACTTCCTGTTCGGATCCCCATCCTGTCTCTGGTGACTCCTCTCACCCACCACACCTCTGGCCTGTACCCCAGTTCTGTATGCATCAGTAAATCTTTTTTAAAAATGAGTATTGGGCTCTCCCTGGTGGTGTAATGGGTTAAAGCACCGCATTATGAAGCTCTCCAAAGCCACCGAAGGACGAGTTTGATCCCTGGCCGGCCAGGGAGCTGACCCACATGGCGTGGCAGACCTCTCCTGTCTCACCCGCTGCTCCCCTCAGCAGTGTACTTAATCGATCTCCCTGTGCTGCTTCCCACTCTGTCTCTGGTGAATCCTCTCAATGCCCCTGCACCTCTGGCCTGTACCCCAGTTCTGTAAGCATAAATAAATAAATCTTTTTAAAAAATGAGTATCTAGTTCGATGGGGAAACAAAAAACTAAACTTCTGTTGCCTCCAGGAGCCATACTCTTAAGTTCCAAGGGTAAATATAGACTTTCAGTAAAGGGTGGCTTAGAAAATCCTACAAGCAAATGGCACCCAAGGGAAGGCAGGGACAGCCATACTTGTATCAAATAAAATAGACTTCGCTAAAAAAGGTAACAGGAGACAAGAGATGAGCACTATATAATTGTTAAGGGAACAATACACCAGGAGGATTTAAAACTTCACTATATTTACTCATCAAATTAAGGGGCACCAAAAAACACTAGCATTTACTATCAAATCTGAATAAAAGATATTGAATATAATGCAGATGTGGTTTGAGACTTCCCTACTCTCATCAATGGACAGATCAATGAGATTAAAAAAAAATAAGAACAAAATTGCCCTAGACAAAGAACTGGCCATGTGAGTGAAATAGACATTTATAGGGCAGTATACCCCCAAAAGCCCAATACATATGTTTCTCAAGTACACATGGATCATTCTCCAGAATGGACCACACACTGGTCACAAGATATGTATCATCAAATTTCTTAATATTAAAATCAGCCCAAGTATCTTCTCTGACCATTAAAGACATCAAAATAAAATCAACCTCAAAAAGAAACCAAGGAAATTTTCTAATATGTGAATCCTGAACAGCACACTACAGAAAAGCACTGAGTATTTAGAAATCTAAGAAGAAATAAAAAAATTACTTGAGGCAAATGATAATGAGGAGACAACCTTCCAGAACAGATGACACACAGCAAAAGCAATACCAAAAGACAAGTATATAGAAAAACAGAAAACAAGAAAAAATCCAAAGATACACCCTTCTCTCTCACCCTAACAAAGTTAAAAAAAAATAATAATAACAAAAAAAAAACAGTAGAAGAAAGGAATAGAACTAGATCAGAAATGCATGGAATAGAGTTTAAAAAGATGGTCAAAAGATCAATGAAATAAAAAGCTAGTTCTTTAAACAAATAAACAAAAGAGATAGGCTCACAAAAAAAGGGGGGGAAATTCAAATAAAAAGGATCAAAAATGAAAGAGGAGCAACGACAGCAGACACTTTAAATTAAGCAGATAATAAAAGATTATTAAAGACATTTATATGCAAACAAGTTCAACAGCATAAGATGGACAAAGTCTTAGAATTATATAAATATCGGCTGAATAGGGAAGAAATAGAGAACATAAACCAGTAACAAGCAAGGAAATTGAAACATAATCCAAACTTTCCCAAAAATAAGTCTAGGACAAGATTTCATCAGTAAATCTTACCAAACTTTCAAAAGATGAACTAATATCTATGCTGCTCAAATTGTTTAAAATATTGTGAGAACGAATACTCACAAACACATTTTATGAGGCCAAAATTACTTTAATACCAAAACCAAAGTCAACAATTGTAAAAGAAATTACAGACCAATCTCCCTAATGAACACAGATGCAAAAATCCTCAATAAATCTTATTGTATGATGATGGTACACGGGTGAACTGGTGGTAGGAACTTCATTGGGACTACACTGAGATGAAAAAAGCACACATTGTACAAAAATGAAAAACGATGTTTTAAAAATACAGTAATAAAATTGTTTTAAATAATAAATATTTTTAAAATCTTATAAAATTGAATCCAATAATACATTTAAAGGATTATATTTCATGACGAAGCAGAATTTATACTAAAGACATAGGATAGTTCAACACCTTAAAATCAATTAACATAAATCACTGCATCAACAAAAAGAAAGATTAAAAACTATATGATCATATTAATAGATGCTGAGATCATTTGATAAAATTCAATATCCATTTATGATGAAAACCCTTCAGCAACTGGGATAAATGGAATATGTCTTAGTATGATAAAAGCCATATACAATATACCTACAGCAGGCTTCTCAATGGTGAAAAACAGAAAGCTTTTCCACTATGATTCTGTATAAGACAAGGATATACACTCTCACCATACCCTTCAAAATAGTATTGGAAGTTCTAGCAATTAGGTAAGGGAAAGCTATATAAGCATCCAAATTGAAAAAGAAGCAAAGGTATCATTACTTGCAGACAACATGATAATATACATAGAGAGTTCTAAAGACTCCATGTAAAAACTAATTAAACAATAAGCCAATTCAGTAATGTGGTAGGTTACAAAATCAATACACAAATATCAATTGCATTCTTATAAGCAAACAGTGAGCTAGAAGGGGAAGCAATTAAGAAAGTCAATCATACCAAAAGATATTAAATACCTAGGAATAACTTAACAAGGGAGGTGAAGGAAGCTATACAAGGAAATGTATAAGACATTGTTAAAGGAAATAGAGAAAGGCAAAGAAGTGGAAGGATATTTCATTGCTCATGGACTGGAAAAATCAATGTTGTTAAAATGGTCATCCTACCGACAACTATTTGCAGATTCAGTACAATAAAATTTCAATGATATTTCCCAAATAAGTGAAAGAAAATTACTGGAATTTATATGTAATCACAAAAGAACCCAAGTATCCAAAGGTTTCCTGACAAAAAGTGGGGGGAGAATGATGGTATTATACACCCAGACTTTGAACTATACTATGAAGTCATAATAATTAAAATAGCCTGGTACTGGAACAAAAATATTCACACAGATCAATGGAATAGAATCAAGAATCCAGAAATAAAACCACATATGGACAGCTAATCTGTGACAAAGGATTGAAAAAATATAGACTAGTAAAGGAAAGGCTCTTCAGTAAATAGTGTTGGGAAAACTGGACTGCCGGTGCAGAAGAATAATACTAGACCACTACTCACACCAGACACAAAAATCAACTCAAATAAATGAATTTATTGAATAAATGGGCCCTCCCTGGTGGTGTAGCAGGTTAAAGCACAGCACTGCGAGCTAGCTTCAGTGCCGGTTGGCTCCCTGGCTCCAGAGGTGATCCACATGGCGTGGCCGACCTCTCCTGTCTCAACCACTGCTCCCCTCGACAGTGTACTTCGTCCATCTGCCTGTTCTGCTTCCAACTCTGTCTCTGGTGAATCCTCTCACAGCTCCTGCACCTCTGGCCTGTACCCCAGTTGTGTATGCATAAATAAATAAATCTTTTAAAAAATGAATAAATGGCCCTCCCTGGTGGCGCAGCGGGTTAAAGCACAGCACTGAGAATCTAAAGCCGCTTCCTCATGAGTTCGATTCCCGCCTGCCCCGGAGGTGACCACATGGCGTGGCAGACCTCTCCTGACCCGCCCGCTGCTCCCCTCAGCAGTGTACTCCGTCGATCTGCCTGTTCTGCTCCCCACTCTGTCTCTGGTGAATCCTCTCACCCTCCGCATCTCTGGCCTGTACCCCAGTTCTGTATGAATAAATAAATAAATCTTTAAAAAAAAATGAATAAATGACTTTGACATAAGGCCTAAAAGCAGAAAATACATAGAAAAAAACAGGCAGAAATGTTCCAAGAGATAAACCTCAAAGATATCTTTACAGTGCTGTCTCCAGCAACAAGGAAAACAGTAAGATATAAACAATTGGCACCACCTTAAACTAAAAAGTACAGTGAAGAGACTGTAACTGAAACAAGAAGATACTACTGAATGGGAAAATATTTGCACACCATACATCTGCCAAAGATCCACAAAGATCTACAGAGAACCCATACAGCTCAACAAAAAGAAAACAAATTATCCAATCAAAAAAAAATTTGGAAGACCCAATTGGGCCTTTTTCCAAAAAGGCCGGCCGGTTGGCCACCAGGCCCTTAAAAAATTTTTCTTTTTTTTTTTTGAGAGAAATGCAAGTCAAAATCACAATAAAACACCATCTCATGTCTGTGAGACTGGCCCATATAAAAAAGACCAGAAATAGTAAGTGCTGGCACACTCCTACACCATTGATGGGAATATAGACTAGTCCAACCCCTATGGAAAACAACATGGAGAGTTCAAAAGATTACAGATGTTTCTGCTTTCTGCTATATGACCCAGATATTCTAATTCTGGTGTCTACATGAATAATTATTTTGGTGGGGTTTTCTGGAAATGTATTATATAGCATATGTATGTGTGTGTTATATTTATAAACATATATGTTATATACATATATAACATCATTATTCATTTTTGTACAATGTATGCTTGTTTGCTTTCTCCTTTCAGATGTATTCTCCATAAAATTCCCTCCAACAATTCACCTATGAAATATCACCACAGTCCCTTGTGCTCTTCAATGGCCTAACTGCCAAAAATTAGATGAACAGATCAAGGAGATGTGATATAGATATATGTATGTGTGTATATATGTGTGTATATATATGTATATATGTATACACACACACACACAATGGACTGTTACTCAAGGATTAAAAAATATAAACTCGTGCCGTTCTCAGCAACATGGATGGAGTTGGAAGGAATAATGCAAAGTTAAATAAGCCAAAAGAAGAAAGACAAACACCTGAGGGTATCACTAATATGTGGGATATAGGGAAACCAAACTAAATGTCAAATAAAGATAAACTTAAAAACTCTTGAAAGCTGACTATAGAATTGAAACATCCAGAGTTGTGAGGTAGTACAGGAGCAGGTAATGACAAAGATAAACAGTGGACTGGTGGTGGACTATGGGTGGTTTGGTGTCAGGTACATTAGGGTGGAGATACCATAAGGGGAGGAATGTAATGTTAATTCAATTAAAAGTATGAATAAATAATTCAAGAATATATAAACTTTTGCCACTTGTGACAACATGGATGGAGCTGGAGGGGATAATGCTAAGTAAAATCTGTCATAAGGAAAAAGACAAATACTGGATGGTGTCACTTAATATGTGCTATCGTAAAGCAAAACAAAGGGTCAGATAAAGCTAAACTAAAATGGTAACCCTTGAAGTCTGCAGAGTAGGACCAAGCAGAGGGGTAGGGGGAGGGGAAGGAGAGGGATGAAAACAAATTGGGAAGGGAGACAAGGGTCTATAATGGAGGATCATGGGGGTTTTGGTTTTGGGTGCACTATGGCAACAACATCTGAAGAGAAGATCCTACACTTCTGTCGAATGATAAAAACCAATATTAGCTCAATAAAGATATTATTTAAAAAGCAACAGAAATCAATTTTCTCACGATCACATTTCCAGAGGCTGGACATCTAAGGTGTCAGCTGGGTCCAAAGCCATTCTCCTTGTGCCTATGGATTGCTGTGTTGGCACGTGGCTTGTTCTTGTGAACAGGTCTTTTGTCCATCTTCGTAGCTAGTTTCTGTGGGAACTCACCACTACTTGCTAACTAGGACTCCAGTAAACTTTTTAAAGTTTAGTTACATTCTTAGAAGTTCTGTTTCCAAATACAGCCTATTGGATCTCTAGCTGGTAAATCTGAAGTGCTTAGTTTGTGCTGTTGTTTCAACTGAATCTTGCTGGTGAAAGTCCCACATAACCACATCCTCCTGCCAAACACCAGTTTGAATGGCCAGATATTTATAGCAAGGGAGGAGCTAGACTATGACTGTTCCTATGACTCTGAATGTTAACTCAGCCAGACTCTTACCCCTATGATATTCCCTAATAAAAACTCACTGTACTTTCCCAGCCTGAAATTCCATTTCAGGGCAACAGTGATTGCCATTCTTCAAATCTGCTTGTATCTCCTAATTTCACCAATATCTTGACAATGTTTACAGGCATATATGGAGTATTCTTAAGAAAACATAAGATGCAGGTAAGAACATCCAAGTGGGAACCCAATTTGGTTTCTCCTTCTACAATTTTTTACCATACACCCATAACAATTCACTAACGTTCATTCTAGTTTTCTTCATACCTTATATTTTATGTTTCACATGAGGTATGGCACTCAACATATTTCTTCTAATTTCTCCAATCCAAGAAGAAGAATACATTATATCATGTAAAAATATTCTTATATGTCATAATCATGGTGAGACAATGGCCACTTTAGGAACCTGGCTCCCTAAGGTGTACTAGATTACAAAAAGCAGTCATGCACCCTATGATCTTGGGAGACATTGGAATGTGCTAGAGTTTTGGATAAACCTGTTATTTCAAGCTCTGCTTAGAGCAAGGGATGTTGGGCAATATGCCCATTCCAATTTAGCCTTTCACTGTACTATCTTACCAAGTAAACACAGACTATTAACTTATAGAAAGTCACTCAGAGGTGAGATAAAATCTTCTTTTCTTGAGAATGCTATGCACTTCTCCTGCTACTCCATGTTTCTAGCATCCTTGGATCTCTGAACCCCATCTGGCTTCATACTTTGACTTTTGAGCTTCAACTTATGGCACAAAATGTTTGAAGAATTGCTTTGCATGTCTATATCTGGCTTAACTTTAGTACCTTTTTAAGACAAATGTAAGATTTAGGGCTCGACTAATATAATGAGGCCTTTTCACTTACACCAGAGAGCATGCCAGTCTATAATGAAAGAAAAAATCTGGATTCCAACCTGAAATTTGAGTAGTTACATCTGAAAAGATTGAAACATTAATGTGAGGAAGAAATGTTCAAAATACTTTTAAATAAGTTTCTGAATTTATAGAAGGTGGCTAACAGTTTTAAATGATAGAAGGTAGATGATAGTTGTCATTTTATGTTGCTGGCATTTTATTTGGTTTTCAGTGTTCTTTCAAGGAGTATATAATAAGTTTTATACTTCCTAGTGAACCATCAAAGATGAGGGTTCAATTGTTAAATGTGAAAGAGAATATCACTATTGTTTTATATTGATGCCATTGTATTATTTGGACTATATGGTGCTGTTTTATTTTGAACAACATATTCCTCTCTGGCAAGCTATTGGGAAGGAAAGGGTATTTATATGGTTAACGATGAGGGGAAATATTTGTGGTTTTTAAAAATGATTCTGTTCTCTTATTTGTAGTGTAATGATGTTTTTGTAATATATAACCTTGTCACTTAATACTGGTGGATTGAGAGAGATTGTGTTTGGTACTACAAAACATTTAATAAATTTTGATTACATTAATGATTAACTGATTGTGTGATTATTATATGGTATGGACCTCATTATTTATCTGGTATTTCCTCATAAGTGCTAGGTAAATAAGCTTTATGTTTGTTTTATAAATAAAAATTGTCTGGTATTTACACCCAGAAATACGGGTAGGACAAACAGACATAACTAAAGCAGTAGTCAGAAACTCACACATGTGATTGAAAATAATAGCTTCCCATGTGCTGCTGAATGAACAGGACCACTAACTTCAATACCTCCTTTAGAAATCCGGATCCTAGAGACACCAGAACTTTGTATTTTCTTAGAATACATGTATACTGTATATATAAAGAGAGTATACCTGTATGTATGTATGTATATATATATATATCGTATACATGTATATATATAGTATACATGTATATATAGTATACGTGTATATATAGTATACATGTGTGTATGTATGTGTGTGTGTATATATATATATGATATCTGATCATAGCCCTGGAAGTCCAATTAGATTTGACATGTCTGTGGTGGACATCAAGAGGAAGATTTGGGTGTTTAGGATATAAGTTTTGGAATTATGTGACAGAGACATATGGTTAGACTAGTCTGATTTTGAACTATATCACCCTGGAAGATGACTCAAACTAAAGCTGCTAAAGTGACCAGATACCACTTAAGCATATGACAACACTTTCTGGATTAGAATGAGTAAAAGAGGAAGTCCACAGCGATGTTATAGCAGGTATTTTAGACTAATGCTCCTCACTTCCTCTGGAAAATGACATTCCCAATCTACATGGTCATAAGGGTGACTTTTCAATAGCCATGTTTCAATTTACACAATTCAAATGTATTCTAATACTTACATTATTTCTATGATTATAGTTGATTGGATCAGAGGGGTCACCAGACTCAGAGCTTTTCAGAGACCCATTCCTATAAAATTTAGAATTGGAATGGAGTGAGAAAATTGTTCCTGTGACCAAGTTTTCTATATGTGTACAAAGTAAAACTAACAACTCAAGTGGATCTACAGCAAATACCATATAATTTTAATGAAGTTTAATTAAATCTAACTCAAAATTTTCACCCCATGTAGCTAGTGGGAAATCCAGTGCAAATGATTATTGAGGTTCTCACTGTAGAATATGAGAAGTTTGTCCAGTGTTTGAACATGGATGTTACCGATAATATCTTCATTATCAATATCTGACTATTATCCTTGAAATCTGATGACTCTGTAGCTTTTACTTAAATAGGAAATTTTCGGTAGGTATGTTCTGGTTTTGTTTCTAGCTCCCCTAACTTTATTTGTGGAATCAGGATAAAGTACATGAATGCACTCCCTCCCACATCCACATACAAATATTAATGTCTCAGTTAACTAGTCTGTGACTTATATGAACTTCAGAGCTGTCAAGTGGACATTTAAAGGGTAATAATAAGGCTGCCTTATTGGTTTTGGTTACCAAACCATTCTATTCTACAAGCCTGAGCACAAGCCACAGAAATGTTGTCTCATTAACATGGTGATCATTTTAATGTGTCAACTTGGCTAACATAAAGTCCTGTCCTGCATTATTCCAGTCAAACACTAGTTTTTCTGTTAAGGTGTTTTGTAGATATAAAGTTCATTGTTAATTAACTTTAATAAAGGAGATTATTTTAGACCATACAGATGATTCATTCAATCAGTTAAAAGACATCCACTAATTCTAAACGATACATGCAATCCTGTGTTCACTGCAGCACTATTACAACAGCCAGGTTATTACAGCAACCTAAGTACCCATGACAAAGGAGTGGATATGTAAGCTGTGGTATATAAGCACAAAGGGGTACTTAGCTGTAAAAAAATACAAAATCTTTCATTTGTAACAACATTGAACCAAAAAGGATTATGATACGTGAAATAAGTACTAAGTAAGAAGAAAGACAAATACCAATTATTTCACTCATATGCAGAACACAAAGCAGAGAAAGAAAACAGAGGAAAAGGCAATTCTAAGCAAGAAAAAACCTAGAAATTTGTAGAATTGAAACTACTGTAGAGGGAGTTAGACAGCAAAGTTAGACAGCCCAGCGAACTGTGGGGGAGTTAGACAGCCCAGCGAACTGTGGGGGAGTATTCTGGGGACTTTGTTGATGTTGTGGGCTGTTAACATATTCGAATAGGTGTGAATCGATATTTTGGAATCAGTTGTAAACCAACAACTCAATAACAAATAATAAACAAAATAATCAAATGCGGTGTCTTGATTATATTAATTTTTTTGATGTAGCATTG